AAAAGCTGACCCCTTTGAATAGACATTGTAGTTAAGGCCTTGGTTTTAGATTTCTTTACACGTGATATTAAAGATTTTGACTTTGTTTCCAGCGCTTTACAACATCGGAGACATGGTTCATGCAGCACGAGGCAAATGGGGCATTAAAGCCAACTGTCCATGTATTAACCGGCAGAGCAAATCCGTGTTGAGACCGGCTGTCACTAACGGAATATCACAGGTCTGTACCCTGAGGCTGAAATGACTCTGCCATGACATTTGTAAGATCTGTTAGATCTCTCAGACTCGTCTCCTGTGAAACACAAACTTTATTTCTCCCGTGTGTATTCTGTGTGGTTTAGCTTAGCAACAATCCTGTGGGACATTTTGCGGGGACGGGTGCCGCAGCGGTTACTCCCCAGGCGGCTGTTTGGGCTGACACGGCAGTGGGTAGGGAGCCGTTCGTGTTGATGCTGTCTCTCCAAACCAGCTGCCACGAGCAGCTTGCAGCGTGTGCAGGCAGTTTGTTGCAGTTCCTGAGTGTTGTGCTGCATCCAGACCAGTTCTGTTACTGCTCACCTATGAAAAAACCACCCCAAAACCCAAACCAAATCTCCAAGTCTGGGCCTGCGTGCAAGAGGACCGAGAGGTGACGTCGTGGGAATTCACACCACGGTGCGAGGTCCGGTGTACACAGAGAGGCAGCTCCTGCTCCCCGCTGCTGCGTCAGCATGGAGGAGCTGCTCTGCGCTTTGACTGGCAGATAGAACCTGCCCCAGCGCACTGGACAGCTGTGGAACTCTTCCCTTTATTCAGCATTTAGCAGTTGTTTATATTTTTGTTTCAGCTTCCACCTGTAAATCCTAGTGCGTCAGCCTCTGGAAACGAGAGCACCTTTTCCACTGGAGCAGGGACAGGAGTGGGGCAGCTGGAAACGGACGCTGTTCCAAAGCCTGAAGCAGCTGACAGTAGTGTAGAAGAATCTGCAAAGCCAGAGACATTACCAGGCAATAACAGTGCTGAGATGAAGACCAACAGGCCGCTTTGCCCAGAAGCAGCCCCATCGTCAGCCTTGCACTGGCTGGCAGACCTAGCAACGCAGAAAGCAAAAGAAGAAACAAAAGGTGAGCAGCAGAGAGCTCCCTGGGGCTGGAATCAAGAGAGAACTGGTGATGTGCTGCTCCCTTGCCGCCCCTTGTGAGCGTGCCTGGCCCTGAACAGGGAAGAACGTGGTGGTTTTCCTTCCTTCGCCTCTTAGAACCAGTTTCCCTTCACAGGCTTAGGAATACACAGAGCTGGAAAGGGGGTGATGCCGCTGAAGACCCAAGTGCTGTCCTGTCACTCTGGTTTATTTCGGTCCCAGTTCTTGTATTTTCTGAGTAATAAGGAGCTGGTCCCCTGCTGTAAAGTTGTAGTAACGAATTTCAGGTGCAGCTTTGTCACTTTAACTGCCGACGTAAACTGAGCGGGTTTGTGCTTTGGGAAGAATGCGTTTCCGAAGGATTGAGGGAGTCGGGGTCAAATGGAAGCTCAGAAATTGTTTAATACTCAGCAGCTCGATACTGGGGAACTGCTTGCAGGAAAGGTGGCAGGGCTGACACAGGATTTGTTCCTGGCCATATGTCCAGCAGGAGCTGCTTTATGTGTCGGTGGTAAATGTTCATGACTTTCACTAGTTTTGCTTAGCCACTGTAATATTTTGACAACAGTTAAAACTTGAAATACTGTGCTTTGAAACATGAATTCAGAAAGTCAGGGAGATACTTCAGTTGAGTCTGTTAGGAAGTTGCAGTGTATCAGCCACACGCAGGTGGGATCTGCAGCGCAGTTTGGACCGTAGCTACCAGCACACCCAGGTAACATCCCTCTGATGTGTGTGGTGGCTGAGTCTCTGTGAGGTGCCTCGTTCCCTGCTGCAGCGCTGTGTTACCACAAGGTTCTGTCGCTGTCCTCTTGAATGCGAGAGCAAATAACCTCAGAGAACTTCGTGACCGTTTCAACTTGCCTTCTTCTCCCCCCCATTCCCCAATGTTGATCTTTATCTTGCAGAGTCAGGATCGCTGAGGTCAGTGCTTAATAAAGAATCCCATTCCCCCTTTGGGTTGGATTCCTTCAACTCCAGTGCAAAGGTTTCTTCGCTAACCCCAAAGCTGTTCAATAGCCTCTTGTTGGGCCCGGTGACGTCGAGCAGCAAAGCCGAAGGCTCCAGCCTCAGAGAACTGCTACACACAGGGCCAGGAAAGCTGCCTCAGGTCCCATTAGACGCAGGAGTCCCCTTTCCTCCCGTCTTTTCTGCAGCTTCTACGGTAAATCACTTTGTATTTCTCCAGTGGTACCTGCTCTGGGGGGGTTTAAGGACGATCGCGCCGGTTGCATCGCCGTGTTTTCAGAGCAGCTGCCATGTTGAAACAAATGCAGCATCTCCGCAAAACTTGCCGCCCCGCAGAGTTGCAGGGAATGTCGGTGCTGATTGTTAGTTTGGGGTGGTTTGCTGCTGCTGTAGATAAGCTGTTCTTGCAAGAGGCCAAGGAAGGGCATCAAATACGGCCTTCAGCCTGCGAAACCGAGCGTCGGCATCCCTATGGAAGCGCACTGTCCACTCCACATCTTCAGAAATGCTGCAAGAGTGTGGCACAGGGAAGGACAAAATCCTGCCCACAAACTAGATCCTTAAGATCTTCCTTATACTTTAAAGGCATTTAGCATAGTATATGAATTCAAAGATTTAAGGTGTAGTTGCTGTTTCTGGGTGCTTGCTCTGGAACGAGGGTGATTTGTTTGCCTTTTAATCCATTTTGGAGGAAATAACCTTAAAAAAACCCTGAACAAATTGGTGATACTTTAAATAGTTAAAAGCATTTCGTTTGAGAGGATGGATTCTGTAGACTTTCAGTGCTTAACTCTTCTTGGAGGATGCTCTCTCCAGGGCTTGGGCAGTAGAATGAGCAAGAGGAGGAAGTGACTTGGCTCACAGCAGATATTTTTTTCCTCCATGTCAGGCTGAAAGGATGAAACCTTAATAATAGCTCATGTTGGTTGTTTTTGCTGGACAGAGCTGTACAGCTGTATGGGGAAAACATGTCCCTGCTACAGGAGAATGAATCCAATAATACCTCCCCCTGCCCCCTTATCACTGAGTACAGGTGAAGAAATTGTGATCACCTGTTAGAAAGCAAGTTACTCCTTCTGGGCTTGAGGGGGCCTGGCCTAGCTTGTGTCCCTGGCCCTGCAACTCTGTGCACGCTTTCAGCACAGCAGTCAGCTCTATTGTGCGATGTATTTTTTTACTGTCGTGACTCCTGGACTTCAGAGCCATTTAGATCAGAAAGAGCTTATGGGGAACTCTGGTCCCAACCCCACTTGAAAGCCTGGATGCTTCATTCGGGATGTGTCTGAACAAATCCTAGCTGAGAAACAGCAGTTGTGCTGGTTGGCTGAAAGGAATATCGCACTGCTGCTCGTGCGGAGAACCATCCCATGTTTCTGGAGCACTGGCATTCTGTTGGGACAAGCAGCATTGGCTGCAGTGGTTCCACTGCACATTATTCCGTGGGCTCTAGAGTTAGCATAAAGGTACATTTTAAGCCCATCGTAACCGGATGATGTTAGGGTCTAGTCTTAGGGATGTTAGGGAGTGACAGGACGAGGGGTAGTGGGTTTAAATGGAAAGAGGGAGATTGAGATGGGACAGCAGGAAGGAATTCTTCCCACAGAGGGTGGGGAGGCACTGGGGCAGGTTGCCCAGATAAGCTATGGATGCCCCATCCCGGGAAGTGTCCGAGGCCAGGCTGGATGAAGCTGTGTTGCTGGCTGGGCCTAAAGCATGACAGATGTCCCTTGAGGGGCAGGGAGCCACAACCGCAGGGGCTCTACTCATGGTTCTGTTAACACTGCACATACAGAAAGCACTTTCCTCCCTGTCTGTCAGAGGTGTTTCTGTATTTGTCAGCTTACCTGTGCCTGTGCCAGGGCTGAATTCACTTTCTGAATAATGGAATGAGGAAAATGGGGAAATAGAGTTGAGATGTTCATGAAGTTAAGAAAAATAAGAACCATTTTTACCATTGAAGTGTCAGTTTAGATCACTTACGTTTTCAGTTGCATGGTTGTTTTCAGTCCCATTTTGCTTGGTAGCCTGTTGAGGGTTATTTAAGTTTTGCTGTTCTAAAACAGGGGCATAGCTGTGGGGTTTCTTCATGGAGACACACCTGTCTCTGAGCTGATCTGTTTGCTCTCAACTGTGTTTCCGATGGCAAGATGTCTGTGACTAAAATCTGAATGAGAGCACATCCGCTGTTACAAGACTAAACTTCTGATTTACATCTTCTAGGGGGCCAAAGGTAAAGCCAGCCTGCCAAACTTCTTAGACCATATCATTGCTTCTGTGGTGGAAAATAAGAAGACGTCCGATGCTGCAAAACGAGCTCCTAATTTAGCTGACACACAGAGAGAGGTGAAGGAAATGGTAATGGGCTTAAATGTGCTGGATCCACACACGTCCCACTCCTGGCTGTGTGATGGCAGACTCCTTTGCCTTCACGATCCCAGCAACAAAAACAACTGGAAGATCTTCAGGGAGTGCTGGAAACAAGGCCAGGTGGGTGATGACAACTAGCCAACCCTTACTACATACAAGTATCCTGAAATATTAACCTGTACCGTGGTTACTGGCACGTCCGTTCGTGGCCAATGGCTCTTGCGTGGTGAATGCCGATTGCAGCCGTAGCCCCATAAACGGGACGGAGCAGACTTGTCCTCTCCGCACTGTAATGACCCAAGCCCGTGTGCCCTCGCACGTTGTGCTCTTCTCAGCTTACCCTTGCGAGGGGGTTTGCTGTGACAGCCTCTTCAGGCGTGGTGTGGGTTGTGCTGAACCTGCTCTACGCCAGCCCAGCAGTGAGTCCGCTGTGATCTCCTGCGTGCATCCTGGCATCTGCCCCATCTGACGCCTGACAGCCGCCGGGAAGGGTCCATTCTGTCCAGCTGCAACATGTACAGGGGTGAAAGTGCTGCGTACAGGCAGTTCTGCTGAAATTCCTGGGGGTGCTTGATGAGTGTCTCACCCTGAACCGACAGCCAGTTGTAACCCAGGTGTTGGTTGGAAGTCGGCATCTCGGGTGTTGAGCACTCTCCTGGGGGGTCTGAGGGGTCAGCAGTCGGTGAGGCCTTCAGTCGAGAGACTGGGCCTTAGCCCTGTGGCCAGCACAGCCGCTCTTTCACATCTCAGCCCGTGTGCTACAGCTCGCGCTTCTCCGGGGAATCAGAAAGATTGGCCTGGTCAGACAAGCGGTACCTTAAAAAATGGGGGAGTAGCTGCTGGAAGGAAGGAAGTGGAAGTGCACCCATGGCTCTGACAGAACACGGTGTCCCTCGGGGTTCCCACTGTTCTTGGCCCATGGCTCTGCAGCGGCCTTGGGCTCAGTCACCTTCACTGACTGTGCGGCACTGAGACCTTTGGTGCTGGAAAGCTCTGGCCCTCATCATCTTCCCCTTCCCATTTTGTGGGCTGGAAAAGGGTAGTTGGAAGAAAGCTCTTGGCCACCCTCCCCAGCACAGTAAGTGCCCACTGGACGTAGATCCGTGCTGCGGTAGTGTCCCACATTGGCAGATGAGACGGTCCTTTTCCCTTTAACAGAGGGGTAGCAGACGGCACACGGTGTCGTGCAGAAAGGGCAGCAGTTTGCTACTCCTTTGTCTCAGAAACTGTCAGAAGTAAATGAAACTCTCTTTTTATCCCAGAATTCACTGGGAGGCTATAGGATTGCTTCTTTCTGGAGCTGTTCTTCAAGAGCATTTTACTCTCCTGAACATGGTTGTGCTCGTCTGGGGACACCGTCAGGATTCTCATCCTATAGCACCCTGCTATTTCCTGAGTTTGCATGCTAGGCTTTCTCTTTCCGAGATACTGCAGATTTGGGGTGGTGTTGGAGGCTTTTCCTTGTTTTCTCCCCATAGTCTGAGAGCAGGTCTGGCAGGACATGTCTGTCAACCAAGTCCGCTGTCCGTTTATCTTGCAGCCCTAGCTGTGCTCTTCACTGGAGAGCGCCTTTTCTTTCCTCCATGGGAAATTCTCTGCTCAGTAATGGGTTCCGCAAGGCTGCGGAGAGTCTTTTTCACCCATCATGTTCATGTGGTCAGGTGAATACAGCAGGGATCAAAACTTGGCATAATTTTCCTGGGCTGAAGACTAGTTTATCCGTCAGCTTCCAGTCTGCCTGGCAGCAGTGTCCACCCATCCTGTGAAGGGTACTCTCATTTTACTCCTCGTCCATGACCCCGAGGTTTTTGTAGAGTACAATGAAAACCTTTCCTTTGCCTTAATGTTGCAATTCACTGGGATCAGGGAATGTATTTAAACTTGGCATCAGTGTGTCTGCTCTGTCATCTCGGGGAGGTTTGCTGCTTGTCAGGGCCTCGCATTTGGGATGTAGTGGGGAGGCTGCCAAAGCTTGTCCATCCCTCACGTACCCTCTGCTGCCTTTGCATATTGCCACGAACAGTGCCAGCGGGGAGACCTGGGCAGTGTGGAGAGTGACTGTACAGCTCGGGGAGCACGGCTTGGCATCAGTGTGTCTGCTCTGTCATCTCGGGGAGGTTTGCTGCTTGTCAGGGCCTCGCATTTGGGATGTAGTGGGGAGGCTGCCAAAGCTTGTCCATCCCTCACGTACCCTCTGCTGCCTTTGCATATTGCCACGAACAGTGCCAGCGGGGAGACCTGGGCAGTGTGGAGAGTGACTGTACAGCTCGGGGAGCACGGGTCAGGGCCATGGAGCCTGAGTGGTTTCCTTAACCCGGCCGGGGAGGGGTGGGGGGATGCACCGATTCTGCACGTCTATCACTGTTTGCACAGTGGTTTTGACAACAGAGTTTTGGGTTGTAACATCATGGAAAGCTCTTTGAGGATTGAGGGCTGCGTGGAAGGGATGGGATCCATCTAAGTACCAACGGGCTGGTCAGGCAGGAACGACAGGGGAGGTGGAGTCTTACCAGTGGTCAAGAAAGGAATTAGCCAACCGGGTTGGCAGGCAATCAGTGTGGGGTGTTGTGAACAGGAGAAATCTTGCACCCAAGAGAACAGGGATGAAAGATGTCCACCTCAAGCATGTGCACGTGAGTAAGGAGCTTTGTGTGTCACAGCGCTGTAAGGAGAGCTCTCATAGCATTCCTGGGAAATGAGCATGACTGGCTGCCTTTCCGGAGTGCCTGCATGCTACTCCATGCAGCCCACGGAACAAACGGGAGGAACTGGTGTGCAGTGGCACAGCCACAGTCTCCTTGGTATGACAGAGGAGTGGTGGGGTAGCTCAAGCGGCTGTAGTCTGGCAAGGGCAGAGGCTGCTCCGGAAGGACAGGCCGGGAAGGGGCGGAGGGAGCATTGCTGTTTGTCTGGGGGAGCAGCTGGAATGCACAGAACTGCGCGGGAACGGGTGATGAGCTGTTGGAGAGCTCAATGACCAGGGCTAGCAAGGAGGCTAACGTGAGCGAGTTTGGGGCGAGTATCTGCTACAGCCCACCTGCCCGAGAAGGGATCAGGCCTTCTGCAACCCAGAGGAGGAAGCCCCATGTTCACGTCTCCTGGGGCCACCCTGGCATCTGCTGGAGGAACAGCGTCAGGCTGGCAGCGCGCCTGGTGCACGACGATGCTGTCCTGGTGCTGCCAACCAGGGAGCCGGCTGGGGAAGGGCTCTGCTGGGCCTCACGCTTGTGCAGGGTGTTGAGGTGAAGGTGAGGGCAGCTTTGACTGCAGTGACTGTCTCCTAGTGGGGTTCGGCTCAAGGCCTGAGAGCAGGGAGCAAAGCAAAAAGGCAGGATCACAAGCCTGGGCTTCAGGAGAGCAGACTCACTTTTTAAGATCTCTACTTGGAAGATTCCCGAGGGATGTGGTTCTGACAAGAAGAGGGGCTCGGGAATGCAGGTTGGGTCATGCTTCACCTGCCTGATTGCCTTCTGTGAGGAGGCGACTGGGACTGGGCATGGTTTTTGCCTTCTCTAGAGTAAGGCTTTTGGGAGTTTCAGGACGTCACTGAACCGATGGAGTACGGACTGGGTACGTGACGGTGTGGTGGAATCCAAACCGACTGGGATGCCAGAGGGTTGTGATGACTAGCACGAAGCCCAGCTGGAGGCCAGGCGCTGGTGCACCCTTGGGGACCAGCACTGGGCCGGTGACTGTTGAACACCCTCATTCACGGCCGAGATGGGCCAGACCTCCTACACCCTCAGCAAGGTCACAGGCGATACAAAACCAGGAGGAATGGCTGACGCACCAGACGGTTGTCCTGCTGTTCAGGGCAACCCGGACCGAGAGGAATTGTGTGACGGGAAAATGTGGAGTCCTGCACTTCAGGAGGACTAACACCATGTAGTATGTGTGGAGGGGCAGCTGGCTGGAAAGTAGCTTTTCCTGGAAGGACCTTGGGGTCCCAGTGGACAAGGAGGTGACTGCGAGCCAAGAAAGCATCCTTGTGACAAAGAAGGGCAGCAGCATCCTGGGCTGCGTTAGGGAAGAGCACTGTCAGCAGGTCGAGGGAGGGGATCCTGCCCCCTTACCCAGCACCGGCTGGAGTAGTGTCCAGTGCTGGGCCCCCCAGGAGAAGGCAGAGAGGGACTTGCTAGAGCAAATCCAGCAAAGTGCCACAAAGGGAGTTGAGGAACTGGGGCATCTGTATGTGAAGAGACGCTGCGAGAGCTGGGACTGTGTGGCCCGGAGAAGAGGGTGGGGAGGAGATCTTACCGTGTGTAAATGCCTGATGAGAGGGAATGAGGAGGAGGGAGACGGACTCTTGTCAGTGCCCAGTGACAGGACAGGAGGTGATGGGCACCAGTTAAAAACCAGGAAGTCCAACCTGAACACAGGAAAACACTAGTTTCGGTGTGAGGGTGCTCCTTTCCAACCGAGATGTGTCGGGGGGGTCATCTTTGCCTTTTTTGTGAAGGAACAGTCCCTTTTAGTTTTCTTAAACATCACTGTTGGAGAGTTGAGGTCTCTTTGCTTCTAGGACTTCAGGGCTACGTTGGGTTGTATTTGAAACCTGAGGCCGTTGCTGTTCTCCACGAAGTTGGGGTTTTTCCTCCATTTCTGAATGAATCGTCCTCGCTCGGGGCATGGAACAGGTGCGCTCCTGCCAGGGGCAGTGCGGCACAGCAGCGGTTGCTCACCGGGAGGGGTTTCAGCAAGGCACGCCTGCCGTGCTGACACCTCCGGAACGTGCAGGGGCATCTGCTCCTGGGGCCGTACTGAGCGCTGTGCGAGGGCTGGAGGTTCACCTTCGCGTCGCTGTTCCTGCGCGGGCAGCGGCTTTGCCTTGGCTCGACCCGCGTGGGCGAGTGAACTCGGAACACGGGGACCTGCGGCTCTTGGGTGGGATGGGCCGTGTGCAGGTTCATCCCCTCTTCTCCTTTCCTCCCCAGCCTTGTGACGGCCCCGGGAGGCTGCAGCGTGAGAGGAGGCGCCGAGGTCTTGCCGGTGTTGGGAGGGGTCTCTGGTGTAGTTTTCCCAGTGCGTAGTTTAGCAAATGCCGTGAGCGTTGGTGGGGAGAGGCCGCTCGCCTCTTGGTGTGGGATGTACGCGCATGGTGAGCCCGAGCATCTTAAAACCCCTTCTGCAGGCGAACAGCCACTTGGCTGCTACTTGGTTTTGTACTCGGAAAGGAATTGTGACCCGCGACTGTACGTAAAGGAGTGAAATAGTTGACAAATTCCTGTCGGCAGATGAAGATTCATCTGAGCAGCTTTGCTGCAAATGCTGCTTCTAGTGGTAGTTGCATTTGTGCTTAAAAAAAAAGGAGAGGTGGTGGGATGCACTGTAATTCCAGGGGTGGGTTGACCTTGACTGGCTGCCAGACCCCCGCCCGGTCACTCGCACTCCCTCCCCTCAACCAGAGGGAGACAATCGGACGGCCAGGTTTGTGGGTCGCGGTAAGGACAGGGAGATCCCTGGGCCGTTGCTGTCACGGGCAAAAAGGTTCAACTTGTGAAAAAGTAATTTAACTTGTTGCGAATGAAAAACAGAGTAGGATGGTGGGGAACAAAGACAAAGCTAAAAACACCTTATCCCCATCCATCCTTCTTCCTAAAGGCTCACCCTTACTCCTTCATCCCCGACTCTTTGAACTCCTCATCCCACGGAGTGGCACAGGGGGGATCAGGAATAATGGGGGTTGCAGGCAGTCCATAACGCTTCGTCTCTGCTGCTCCTTCCTCCTCACGCTTTTCCCCTGCTCCGGCGTGGAGTCCCTCCCGCAGGATTCCATCCCGCACAAACCACTCCGGTGCGGGCCCTCTCCGTGGGCTGCAGTCCCTCAGGAATAGGCTGCTCCGGTGTGGGTCCCCAACGGGCCGCAGCTCCGGCCAGGAGCCTGCTCCAGCGTGGGCTCTCCGGGGGCGGCAGCTTCCTTCAGGGCATCTCCCTCAGCTCCACGTGGTCCAGGGGACCAGCTGCTTTCACCACGGTCTCTTCCACAGGCTGCAAGGAACCTCTGGAGCACCTCCTCCCCCTCCTTCACTGACTCTGGTGATGCAGAGTGGTTCCTCTCACCTCCTTCCCCCCCTCCCCACAGCTGCAAAGCATTTTTTCCCCTTTCTTATTGTCACAGAGGTGCCACCGGTGTCACTCTGGGCAGCGATGGGTCTGTTGGAGCCGGGTGGAGCCATCGGTGTCCAGCATGGGGCAGCTCCCAACCGCATCTCGGAGCCGCCCCGCTGCCAGCACCGCACAGAGCTCGTACGCTTAGCGAGCGCGAGACCGCAGCGCGTCCGAGGCAGCAGCACGTGACCTGGAACGGAAGTTTGCGTTGCCTCTGGTTATTTGATGCACAAAAGCCAGACGTGGGTGAAAATAGATTGGTGGTGGCTGTTGTGTGACGGTAGCCAGGATCTCAGCTCGTAACGTGTGGCTGCATGTGTAAGAAATTTGGTTACGGTGGAGTAAGCATTCATCTTTGTATTCTCAGCCCGTGCTGGTATCTGGTGTCCATAAGAAGTTGAAGTCAGAGCTTTGGAAACCAGAAGCTTTCAGCCTGGAATTTGGAGATCAAGATGTAGATTTGGTGAACTGCAGGAACTGTGCCATAATTTCAGACGTGAAAGTGCGTGACTTCTGGGATGGCTTTGAGATAATATCTAGTAAGTAATACCTCTGGCTGAATAGTTTAACTGAGCAGTCTGTCTTGCTACCTTCAACTCTTCCTTTTCCACCTACTTCCTCAACAGATAAAATATAATTGAAAAGGGTCCGAGAGGCAGTCGGGCTCCTCCGAAGACGCCGTGGCACCCCAGTTGTAGCACACCCCAGAAAATACTTGGGTGAAGATTAGGGCAGGGCTGGCCAAGAAAACCTCGTCCATACTATGGTGTGGGGGCATGATTTACTCTCGGGTGCCAAAAGCTGATCCCTTGCGTGGGGAAGTGCTGTTCTCTGAACTGTCCCAGGGAAACCGCCAGCGACTGTTGCTGAGACAGGCAGTGCTTCGGCTCCCCCTTACTCCTTCCGGGCCAGCGCTTCCTGGGAGGCGAACGGGAATCTTCAGAGCTAAACCAGGCTGAGGCTCGGGGTGCTGAAACTCAACTGAGTAAACTTGACATTGCTCATTAGTCTTATAGTGGATCATCTGCGAGTACAAATGCACGTTTGCATTTCGCGTAGCACCGCTGCGCTTACCTCCTGTGGTAACGCGCTACCTGGTGCTTGAGCTCTTCGTCAGGAAAACCTCCAGTGGGGAGGCGGAAGCGAAGGGTGAAGATTCCTGGGGGTGTAGCTAGCCATCTAACGAGGTTCGGAGAAGCAGAGCGCTCGATTGAGGTGGCACCCGCCCGGATGGGAGCGGGCTCGCATCCACCGGCATTGGAGCTGTCACGGCGTGTTGCAGCGTTGCTGGTTTCAGCGTGGCGTGCGAAACGTTTTCGGTACTTGCTGCTGGTGCGTGTAGCAGAGACTCTGGGCCGTGGGGTGACCTAACGCAGCGTTTGTTCAACAGCGAGCCGAAAGATGGGTTTGTAGGCCAACAGTATTCCCTTCCCTAGTCCTTTTCCAGTCAAAGAGCTCCCAGCTTCTGCCTTGTGTTTATGTGGTTCCAAGTACAGCCTTGGATTCTGTACTGTTGCTGTTGTTGTTCAGCAGTAAAGGGCCTAGAGGGATGTCATGGTGTGGTCTTCCCGTGTACCAGCGGTAGCAGGGAAACTGCACTCTCAACTTCTGTGCTGGGGTAATTTGTGGAACAGGGAATTTGTACGGGCCGCGTGATCTCTGAGAAACGTCGTTTGTATTTGTGCTTTCGGCAAAATCAGCTGCTGCCTTTGCCACACTTGATGTGAGCAACGTTAGTGATGCCGGTTGGAAATCCCGAGCGCTTCTGCTGCTTTCTTTTAGATCCATTTTGTTCAGTGGTTTTCAGCGATGTGCCATCCCCAGGTTAGAAGAGCATCGTTTGCTTCTAGCCCAGAGAGTTCATACACCAACTCCTGTTTGCAGATTGTGTGATGAGCCTGACTTCTCTGCGTTGCATGAATTTTAGATTTCTCAACTGTGTGGCTGTCATCTACACCTCCCCCCTGAAGTTATTGAAGAGATGTAGAACAGCCACTGAACTGGGAGCTGATCCTGAGATAATCCCTTAATTTTCCCATCTGATACTTTATTTTAGTTAACTTTGATCTTGTGCTGTTTCCTTTTAATATCTTTGAGTTGTATGTGGACTCTGGCAGGTCTCACTCTCTGCTCTCATCCCTCGTAGGCCCTGCTTTTCTTTCCTGACCAGAATTTTTCTAGGTTTTGTCCAGTTTTGTGTAATTTGTCAGATCCGTATGTTTTCTTCCAGGTAGCTCTTCACTCTCTCCTTTCTGAATACCTTCCTACAAGTTTCTTGTTTGGAATGAAGGTCCTTGATGAGTTCAAAATCTTGAATATGGGAAGTTCTGAAACATCTTTAAATCCAAGTCCTTGAACTTTTCAGTTCACTTGCCTCTATAAAATTTGTTTTCTTCAAATCAGTCACTTTGGTTTACATATCTGCAATTCTTAATTCCTTTTCATTTCCATAAATGTGTTTGATATTGCGAACCATGTCCGTCTTCCGTAGCCTGTTGGTGTGTAACACGGATGTGATTCACAGGTCTCCGAGCCCTAGGTTCTAAGATACCCTTTTTCTTGGTGCTGCCAGCAGCTCTGCCAGATCTGGGCCGGAGCAGTTTGTTACTGTTTGGCTGACAAGCCTTGGCAAGGTAGGAAGTGGTGACGGGTGTTGCTTTCCGGGGAAAAGAGGATGCCAGCGTGTTAGACTGCAGTACGTCCCGTTTGCCAGCTGGCGGCTTCGTGTAGGG